GGGAGGGGACTGCCCTGGYACAGCAGTATCCCAGAACCACAGAATAAGGACCCAAATTGGTGCAGGAGATCAAGTCTGTGTGCTGGAGCAGGGCAATCTGTATGTTTTACTAGTAGAGTGTAGGTAATGGATGTAGATTATAAGATGTTCTTGGTAATGTAATTCACTTTAATGAACAAAAGGCGCAAGCCAAGTTCTGCACTGATTTACAGGCTTTGGAACTCAAAATATTTCACAATAATGCAGAATTTGATCCATCATCCTAAGCTTCCTGCGGTATACAATGAAGTGTAGGACATAACAAATAAGACCTTTGGCAACCCTTGTGATGCAGTTTTCCAGTAAAACCCTTTGTTTAGGGCCAGATCCACAGAAAGCTTCCCTGGTGGGTATGCAGAACTCATGCCTTGAAGTCCAAATGTAGACCCTTAAGATGTCTAGTCAGCTCCACAGCTGCGTCCCTCTGGTTTGCACCCTCCTACCTACTGGCACCGTCTGTTGGGAGTCACGGGGTGCCCAGGGGAAGAGCTTTCCCCTGCAAGTGCACAGTGCTGAGGAGCACTCYGGGAGGCTCCCAGGCTCCCGAGTTTAGCCCACTTCATTCCCAACACAGGTCAGGTCCATTGCAGGAAGGTGTCCCCATGCCAGGTGACACGTGGCTGAGGGAGCTCGGCCCATGCAGCTCCGTGCACTGATGGTCTTTGGGAGAAGGAGGACACGTGCACAGGAGCCCATAGCGATGGTTGTGACTGTGTCCTGCCTATGGGAGGGCTGCGTTTCAGCCTATCCTTCCTTCATCTGGTAACAACCACCACAATTTGCTTTTAGTTGTGAATTGCCAACCACGGTGAGATGCGGTAGCACCTCTAGGGAAAGGCAAATTTCAGCATGATATCTGTCTGGAGGGAAAAGGGACTTGGGCTGCCAATGGTACTGCTGGGACAAGACCCTTCAGAGAGCGATTCAGCCCCTGGTACAACACATGGTTTGTCTTAATGCCTGCTGAAGGGGAGCTCCCTYTGTGTGAAGATGTTTCTGCTTAAGCAAAAGGATAGTTATTTTCAAATTGCTACTGAAAATACACAAAAAGGGACTGAAATTCCTGAGACTGAGGCACAACAGAATGTTACACTGGCTTCCAATGAGCAGCTGTGCTGCTTTACTTGGGCCCTTGCTGCAGATATGCTGAGGACCAGCTGGAAGAACAACCCTCTTCCAAAGTAGAATAAAAGCAGATTTTTATTCGACATTGTCCAGGAATAAATAAAATCCTTGACCTGGTACTTTAGTTGAGAGGACACCATAGCTAAGTGAGTGGTAGAGTGATGCTCTGGGCATYGTGCACTCCATGCAGCACGTTGTGACCCGCTCAGGAGAGTGTCATTGGCAGAAGCAGTTTACAGAGGAGAAGGGGCTGAGACACGTAAAGGTTGGTTCCCACTGTCCCAGCCTAGGGAGCTGGTAGAAAGCTATGGCAATGTGCTAAGTACTTATCAAAAAGGGGCTCACAGTCAGATCCTGATCCATACTAACACCCTCCAAATCCCTCTGCACTGCTGACAGATTATAGTCTTTTGAGGAAAAGAAATGTGTGTGTGTGGAGAACTCTGCGATTTCCCCAGGCTGCGGCCAGTGAATGTGGATGTGCCCTAGGTTTGGCTTGAGCCAATGCAGGAGGGAATCCATGGAAAGCACGGTATGGAAGCAAGGCGAATGCAAGCAGCCAGGAAAACAGAAGCCACATGCTTCAGAAGTGAAGATGATGATGAGCACAGGCTTTGCTAAGTTCAGGAGGGCAAGAGCCCAGAGGAAAAAGCACAAGGGGAGAAGTTGGGCAGCAGTTTGGCAGCCACTTAGGGAAAGGATATTAATGGCTCAAGCCCAGTTAGCAGCAGAGAAAGAGAATGGAAAGGCTACGAAGAGAGCAGATAGGGAGGATGGAAAGGCTACGAAGAGAGCAAACGGGCTATGTCACAAGTCTCCAGTAATGTGGGCACAAGTAAGCATCTAGAAAGTGGTTACTAGTAAAATTACCAAGAATTAGTGAAAAAAAAATAGTATCAAAAGTGTAGGAAGAGTGTCAGAAGGTGCTAGGCACAAACAAACAGTGACCAGTAGGACCCGAGGGGGAATTAAGAAGTACCAATAAAACTAGCTGCAAGTTGATGGTCAGCAGGGCTGGAGTATCCAGCACGCTGGGGCAGAGGGAGGAGTAGGAGTGATGCTAAAATCCAGAGAAATGCAAGGAGTGCATGGTGAGGAGAAATGGACATCACCGACATGAGGAGGGGCAGCCTGGAAATCCCACACCGAGCTCGTCGGGCTCATTTCTGTGACGTGGAGAGCAGCAGGCAGGTATTCACTGGGGTGAGCATGCTGGCCATAGTGAGAGCGACCGTGCTGTGACACGGGGCTCGTGCCGCTGCTGACTGGAGAGGAACCACCCTCCGACACCTTGGGACGGACAGTGACATCCCAGCGCATCTGAGAGGTGTGTGGCAGGAGCCACAGCAGTATCTTGTCGAGGCAGAATAGTCAYGATACTCCCCATATAGGTTATTTGGATGTATTTGCAACCACACAGTTTATCCTTAAAATAGAGCCTGCTTTCYGATCAAAGTGGTGCACTGGTGCTCATCAGAGTGTGCCAATGGCATAGGAAAAATCATTGGATTCAGGGCAGCGGTGACTACTGACAACAAGCAGTTAATAAAATAATAATAMAGGAGGAAGTGGACGCAGTTTAGTTTTACAGACTTTCAATGCACAATAAAACATTTTATTTAAAAACAATGCATTCAATATCTCGTTTTGGCACAAGTCGATGTCGCAGGCACATTCACACCGAACAGTAACATYGCTGAAAGATCCCGGACGGATCGTTGCGTTTTGCTCCACGCACGATGGTCACAACAGACACGCAGGATTCCTCTGCACGAAGAGCCAGGCTCCTTGCTTGCCAACGCGCCCACGTTATTCACAGGCCGCAGGCGGGCGGCAGATGTGCTGCCACATCTGGCACGCGGTCCGGAATTCCAGGGCCCGATCCCAATGTCCCTGAACCCAGCAGTGCTGTGGCGTGGGAGCAAGGTCACCCGAGACTGCATTCCGGCCCTCTGTGGATATTTGCCATTAAAAATAAATAACACTTCTAGTCTGGCCATTAAAATAATGAATCCTTTATTACAGTTATGGCGACTTTTTTCTTTTTTTTTTTTTATATTTATCTTTTTTTTTTTATTGAAAACAACTCCATCAGGCATTGAACTGTATAGCCATTAGAATAAAGACACATTCATCCCCAGGAAACCTGCTCTCTAAAAGATTTGCCTCCGTTCACAGTCCTTGTTTTTTGGTATGCTCAACATTAAAACTGGTAGCCAAAGCCACGTATCCTGCTACCACTCACTGAAAAGATGCAAGCAGCAAAAATACAGGAGAGAGGAGTGAAAGCAGAGGAAGCAGCACACCTAGCTCCATTGCTATCTACACTGTTTACTTTATATTTCTTTGCTTTACAACCCAATGCCCAGCCCAAAAAGCGGCTCCTGGGTGCAGGCATCAGTGGTAGGGTGCTGCGTGGGGCTGCTCCTTGTGCAGTCCTTACRTGCACCCCTGGGCTCCTCTTGATTTTGTAAACGAAAATGTTTTGCACTTACACATATTGATTACACTGCATTACAGCATACTTTCATTTAGCTATATTTGTTTGTCTAGACATTCAGCAATAACAGCAAGTATTTTCCCTGAACCATCAAGAATTCATTTAGATGCACAGAGGCAGAAAGATCTGGGAGCAAACAAAAGGGGGGGAAGAGGGAGGATGGCGAACGCAGGGGCAATGCCCTGCGCTGAGCACCGCGGGCTGCAGCCGGCCGCTTCCCGCCGCTGTCGTCGCGGTCCCCGAGAGGAGCCCGCGCGCGTCGTGGCTGCACGCGCACCCTCTGCCTCCGGAGATGCTGATTCAAAGCACCTTTACTCCTCATTCATTTTCTCTCTGCAGCCTTCGGGTCTTCACCTCTCTATGAAACACAAAATCTGCCCCTGACTCTCAAAATGAAGTGTCACTGCAAGTGGCAAAACCCAGGGCTGTCCTCTCCAATTAGTGAGGCTCCAAGCAAAACTGCTTGCTCCTGCTGGGGTTCCCCACCACACCGGAGTGTGGACTTTGCCCCTGTTGAAAGGGAGAACTTCTTTTCCATAAAAATCAAAATTACGCATGCTGCAGGTCGGGCACAGCCTGGGAGGGACACTGGGCTCCAGGCTGCAAGATCAAACACCTAGGGGGGTCTCATCAAGGCTCAGAGCTCATCCCTTCCCTTCCACCTCCCAACAAGAGGAGAACTCAAAGAGCCTCTAAAGAAACAGGCAGGAACAGAAGACACATTTTTAAGACCATTTTCCACATTGTGACAACTTGGGCAAAAAAATATTGATACTCAGAAGCAATTTGCTTTGGGCTGTATTGCGCCATTGATTCTGAAGCAGAAGTCCCCATTGAAACCAGTGATTCTGAAATGCTCAATGCGGTTCTGCAAAGTCAATAGGGAGTTTTGCTTAAAAATCAATGCTGTAATATGGCCCTTTGTCAATAATTTTCCTGCATTCCCATTTCTGGATATTTGCAATCATTTCTGTGCTCCGCACTGAGCACTCTCGGTGCCTGGCTGACGGCGCAGCAGAGCGGAGCTGCTGCGCATGCAACGCGCCGGCCCCTGCYGCAAACCCGGCTCCCGAAAAGCTGCGGGCAATTTCTGTAACTTTTCTTTGATTAAGAAAAAAAAATAAAAATTAAAGATTAAGAAAAAGTAGGAAAAAGTACCYTGGGCAATTTAAGTATTTGGCTTCCATTTCTAATTTTTACTTTTTATCTTCTAACGTGGATGCTCAAAGAAGTTATTCTGAAAGGGAAAGGAAATGTGCACTGTTTYAAAAAGACTGATCTGGAACTCTTTGATTGTCAGACTTTCTCCCTATTCCCCTCCATGTGCAGACTCAAGGGAGGGGACACAATTTTCTCTGGATTTCACTAAAAATGGTGTAATCCTGATGCAGATGGGCTAAGTCCCTTGTCGCACTGTGAGGAGCCTGGACCTCACCCAGGGGCTGCTCCCATCCCAAAAAGTGCCTCTTGGTGCAYGATCAGACATTCATTTAGACTAATGGATGCTCACTTGCCATGACATCAAATTTAAACTAGTTTTATCATGTAAACACTGTACAGCAGCAAGTAGCATTTGCCAAGGTGATTTCTCAGCCTGGGCGAGGGGCACGAGGGCAGCCCCCCACCTCCTGGGCTGCAGAGCGACCTGCCTGCCTTAGCAAACACGCACCTGCTCTACCGTTCAATACTAAATTACACTGGAAATGATTAATTGATGCACTTCATTAATAACTTGTGCAGAACCCTTCCTTGCCTTTATAATTCCTGCCTTCTTTTTGTAGTCGGGAGGGGAATAAAAATCCATATGGCAGGCGCCTGAAGAGAGGTTCCTCAAAGGACTTTGCCTACCTGGTGCCTCCCCGGCTCCTGCCCCATCCCAGCAGCTTTGACCACGTTTTGGGCTCTCCCCCAGGCTACAGCATCACCAGCTCTCGGGACAGCCAGCCCGGCCCCCCTGAATCCAGCACGACTCAGTGCTGACCCTCGGCTGGGCCCTTGCATGCTGCGACAACACAAATAATAAAAGGCAATATTAATAATAAATCATAGGGCACCCTATGGCATCATACACTACTATTACTAAACAGCTACGTCTTAATAATAAAACTTGCCAGAAGTCATAGTGTGATATGAATAGTGATGAGAAGAGGCTTACTGCAATTGCAAGGAAAGGGGAGAGCTGAGATGCGGATGCAGCGGGCAAGGAAACCCAGGAGCGACGAGGAAACCCAGSRGMGACGAGGAAACCCAGCGGAGACGAGCTGTGCGCGGTGCCAACCTGCAGTCCCTCCGGGCACCATTCCGGCGCRCTCCATGCTCGCGGGGCCGGGCAGCACCCCAGCTTCTTCCACAGCTCTAAACACCCACTTGAAAACAGAAGCCAGAGTACGTCAGGTCATTAAAACAGGGGAGAAAGGGAGGGTTTTCTACATGGCTTTAAAATCCTTGGTCCTTCCAGGTAAGTCGCTTCCAGTTGTAATTGCTATGGACATAGTAATTTTGTCCCATGGAGGATGCAGTCATTTTTTTTCACCACCAGTGCTGGAATTGGGTGTTTTGGGCTCCAAAAGCTGTTGGAAGGTGACACGGGTGGTACAAGGGATGGATGGGCTCCGTGGCTGGGGGGATGGCTCAGGCCTCATCCTAATGGGAATGGCTTGCAGAGCTGCAGTCACTGGGAGGTGCTCTGCATTGCTCGGGATTTTATATCATACCCAGACTGCCTTCCTTGCTTTCTACACCTACTTTAAGTAAAGAATCCTAAAAAAAAAGAGAAAATGTRGATTTTTAAAGTATGATTTTAAATGCACTTTTGCATCTTCTTTCAGTGTATAGTCAGGTGTCACTTAGTGTAATACAGAATTATATAAAAGTGTTAAAATACTTCTAAGTATAATTGTTTTAATAAGAAAAAAACAGTTATTTTACAGACTTCTTCATCCTGAGACATATTGGCTAACATTTCCAAACTTTAAGTGACACTAAAATTTGTCCTCTTAGTAAATAATCTGRTTTCCAAAGGTACTAGAAAACCTACATCTTCCTTTGACTGCAGTGAACATTTCCTTGTGACTTGGAAATGAGGCGACTATTTCAGTGGCCTGAATGTGGTTTTGGAGAAGTAAATGTGAAAACCTGGTGAGTGGCTGTATTTCTTGCTGCCTGCATCCCTGCTACGCTCACTTCACTTCCCTTTTTTAAAAGAGATGTTTAAAAATACTGCTTTTGGCTTGGATCTTGCTCGGGCTGTGGTTCCCCTGCTGCTGCTGGATGCAGCTGCATTCACCAATGAAGGCGTCGGGTCCAGGACGGCCCCGCTTGCCGTRCGGATAACCACGGACCGTGGGACGGGCTGCGGGTCCTCCACAGCACCAAGCACAAGCCCAAAGGAAAAGGAAATYGAATACTGCTTGTTTTGGTATTTTATATTTAAAACCAAAGGGCCAAATGGGACCCCCTAGACATAAACGAAAAAAAAATCATTTTGTCTGACTTTTGACTATGATTTGGCCCAAGTTGCGTTAAAACACTGAAGTACTCTAAAAGTATTACAAATGCCTTGCTGTGGCACAGGCCATATTCTGACCTCCTCCATGTTATTCCAAAAAAATGTGAAGTCCAGTAAATATGAACGCATGCAAGCGGTGGGGAGCAGGCTCCACGTGCGCAACGCGCAAGCGGTGGCGACTGCAGCTGGAGCAGCGCCTTGCATCGGCCGCGGCAGCCCGCGGCAGCGGGGCTCGCACTGCCACAAACACGGGAGGAGCGGGATCGTTTGGAGCGGACACCTCTGCCTCTGCTCCGAACGGAACAATAAAATTAGGAGATTCAGAGGCAGTTAGAGGAATGCCAAAATATGAAAATATCTTAAAACATATTTAGAAGCATATCTATAAATGCAAAATATTCCAAGATTTCTGCTTCACAAGTAGCATCCACAGAACCTGATAAATGCATCTGCATTGCTAAATATGCTCAGACCCTCTGAGGAGCAGTGATAAGAGTGATTAAAAAGCATATTTATGGTATGGAAAATATTTTAGTTTTTTTTTTTTTTTAAGGATTCTATCTGAAGAATGTTTAATTCTGTTTTGGGCACTTTTTAGACAATGATTTGGCACTTGGAGCTTTCGGTTCTTAGGCACAATGCGACAAGGTGAGTTTGGCCAGTCCTTCACCGTGCATCCTGTAGAGCAGCTGGAACTCTGCGGGCAGCTGGTGGGACTCCTGCCACTTGGTCGTGAACTTGGTTCCTTTCTTGTCATAGTAGTGGTACGGGAGATCTTCCCTGGTGTTGGGATCGAAGCCAAAGGGCCAGAATCCRTACAGGTGGATCTCCTCACATATTGCAGAAGCAAGGGTGTACATGAGGATACCTGTGCTCAGCCGCTTGGGTGACAAATGCTTGTTTTTCCAGTATCTGTGAAAATAATAAAGGCACGTTAATTTAGCGTGGAAATAGTATGGATGAGTTCACTGTAATAGGAAGAAATGACTGCACGGAGTCCTTCAGTACTAAGGGTTGATGATCTCAATAGGGTAAGGATTGCTGCTTGGGTCAGTCTGCAATAAATGGGAGCGCGGAAGACTCCTTCGGATACTCTGATCAATATTCCTTCTGTGGCCCCCTTCACAATGCATTTTTGCCTTAAGAAGAAACAAACAAACAAACAATAAATAAAACCCAGGAAAAGTAGTGCCTTAGTGAAGAAAGCAAATGCATTGAACCCCGGTCACATGTATGTTTGCTAATGAGATCAATAACATTCTCCTAGTGCAATTTCATAGAATAATAAAATCATAGAATCATTACAGTTGGAAAAGACCTTCAAGATCATCCAGCCCAAGTGTCAACCCATCTCCACCCTGTCTGCTAAACTATGTCCCTAAGTGCCTCATCTACCTGTTTCTTGAACACTGCCAGGGATGGTGACTCCACCATTTCCCTGGGCAGCCTATTTGAATGATTGACTACTCTTTCTGTGCAGAAACTTCGCCCAATAACTAACCTGTCCCCCACCCCAGCACAAGCTGAGGCCATTTCACCAGTTCCTTATTGGCAGTTATTTTGGAGAAGAGTTCTCCAAAGATCTCAAAGATCGAAGAGATTTAYGACAAGTTTCGTTTGGGCCAGTCTGCAGGTATGTCTGGTAGCCTCCCTATTTGCTAGTAGAGGAGATCATATATGGAAGATGTCATGAAAACTCTGGTGGGGATGTCATGCGAATTCTTCCATAAATGATGTCTTGCTTGTGCTGTCTCTTTCAATTCCTTGGTGCTCCTTCTCTCTTTGTGGGAGGATCGACAGGCACAGAGTCCAGGGGTGGGATCCACCCCTATGTGAGCAACTAAACCAAGGCACAGGTTCCACTGAAATTGGTAAAGAAAACACTGGAGCGCGTACTGAAAAAAATAACAATGCTGCATTTGCACTAATAGCAAACAGCACCATTTGGGTACCAACAGAAGAATAAATACAGTGGCATTTATAGCCACAGTGATACACATTTTGATGAATTAAATGCAAGAGAAAATACACACCTGTTAACGTGTTGCATTATATTTCCTGGCCAAGCCAGCTGGACCTTTAACTGCCCTCTATGCTCAACAAAAAAGTCAACCAGCGTTCTTGTGACTGTTGCTGACGTGTGGAAGAAAAAAGCGGGGATCCAAAGAATRGCCCCATCAAGCTTTTTTAAACTTAAGAAAAAGTTGTTGCGATCCTGAATGGTCAAAAGATTGTTGTAATACTTCTCCAGGATGCTGGGGTTGAAGGTTGTGAGATTGGTTTTCCTTCCAACATCTCTTTGGAAAGCCTCAGTTGGAGCAAAATTGCAACGAAAAACAAAATCAGATTTATCTATTTCTTGTCCACACTGGCTCCCAGTCAGGATTCCACTATTTCCAACCACAGCGCAAATATTGTAATGCTTGTTCATGATGGGTGACACATCTGGAAGCAGTGATCTGAAGTTATTGCTAATAGAAAAAACATATTTATGGCTGGAATAATCATAGTGCATCAGCTGTCCGATCCGAACACTGTTCTTGGTCAGAGAAAAATTTTTTATTACATCAACATGCTGAAGGATTTCTTGCCTAAAATAAAAGAGAAAAATAAAAGAGAAAATAAAAGAGAAAACATTTTTTTTWWTWWTTTTTCCCCCTTTTTCTGTGGTAGACAGAGATTATCTTTCTGGCTAGGCCTAAGATGTTARTGTTTTATGGCAGTTTCCTGAGAAATGTGGTGGAATGGCTTTTAAACCAATAATAATAAACTGGGTTTATGGAGCTCATTCCTTGCCTAGTGCCTGCTAGTGCTGCTGAACTGTCCTGACTGCTGCCAGCTAAGGATGTGTCTCAGAAGAGTGTCGGGATTAAAACACTGGATTATTTTTGGAAGTCTGAGGCATGCAGCTGCAGACACTCCCCCTTTCTGCGGGGCAGTGTAAATCAGATTTCTATTTACGCTGTGATCCGTGTGGCCGGTGGACATGTGGACATGTGCTCTGCTGATGCTCTCTGCAGTCAGAGGCTCTTTGCTTCTGGTGGGCAGCATGTCTGCCAAGAAGCACTCAGAGCAAAACCAGAATATTCAGTTGTGTTAACTGTAACATAGCTGATTTTTTAAATACAAGCATTTTGTATGCTCTCATTAAGAAGCTTTAGATCATAGAAAAGTGACCATCACTGTTTCCCTTTATGTAAACATGATTCCTTAATGTCTTACTTGGGCAAGTGCATGGGAATTTTTAAAAAGGTTATTAGGACTACTTAAAAACAAACCAACCAATCCTGCTGAGGAATTTCCCTAGCAGGGCATAAAATTAGAAAACCAATACCACTTTATTTGCTCCTGTTTATGGAAAACAACCTTCTTTCCAGCTCACATCCTCCAGTGTCTAAGCATTAATGGAGTCCCAGTGGGTTCCCTAATTATGGGTTATAGCTAACAGACAAATGCAAAGGCAGACCTTGAGGCATTAGCTAATATCAACAGCAAAGTGACACTAAGATATTTATTAAGGGTTAGATGGCGATGCCAGGAACCAAGTGATGCTAAGGGATGGCTACTGCTAACTCTCCAAGTCTGCATTGCAAGGAGGGATGACAAGGGCAAAAGAAAAGTGCATTTGGCTTCCTATGAGGAACAGGGTGGCACTGAAAGACCCCTTGCCATTGCCACCACCTGAAAGGTCAGTGCAACGTACTCATAGGAGGCAGAACGCAATGCGTGAGGAGGGCATTTCAGCTGGGTCTGGACTTGACGGTGCCCACTGGGACTCTCTGCCCACTCCGCCAGCCAGAGCGGGAGCTAGGAAGGCAGAGCCGCGCTGCACAGGCTCACCCTTGCTGCTAGCTGCTAAGTTGCATTGGGCAGGTTTTGCCCTCCATTTCATGGCTTTTACAGTTTGATTTGTTTCAAGTTTCAAAAAAACCTAGCCATTTATCTTGAAGAAATGACAATTTCACTTGCACCCTTGGAAACTGGGTCACATGCCGTTTGGTAAAATAATGCATGTTGCAGCTTGGTGTCCTACTCTGAAATAATCAATTCTTCTAAGATAGCTGTTACCATCTTGGGAAATGCTCAGATTCAGCCTTTGTCTCTCAGCACCCGCAAATTACTCAGAGCTTGGTGTATTAAGAGGTCCCCTATTGTATTTCCTGACATGCTGGGGGCCAAGGGGCACTCTTGGGGCCGGTGGGAAGGAAGGGCCTGGTGCTCCTCACCTCTGATGGGCGAACGCTGTCCTGTTGAACGTCCACTTGGCAGGCTTCTCCTGCAGCTCGTGGCTCAGGGAGTTGGTAATGGGCACGAACGACGGGTCCAGGAACTTCAGGGCGAACTGGGACCTGGGGAGCAGCGGGCGCACACGGACCCTCACGGACCCACGCGCGCTACGGGCCGTGGCCGGGCCCGGGCGCCGCCGGCGGCATCAGCACCGCGGACAGCGCCCGCCCCGCCGCGCCGCTCCGCGCCGGGCCCGGCCGAACCGAGCCGGGCCTAACCGAGTCGAGCTGAACCGGGCCGAGCTGAGCCAGGCCGAGCCGGRACGAGATGACCCAGGCCGAGCCGAGCTCAATCGGCTTGGGACAAGCCGCACCGAGCCACSCCGAGCCTAACTGGGCCGAGCTTAACGGGGCCGAGCCGAGCTCAGCCTAACCGGGCCGAGCTAAACTCAATCGGAGCAAGCCTAACCAAGCCGGGCCGGGCCAGGCCTTGCCGAACCGAGCCGAGCCGGGCCATGCAGGGCCGGGCCGGACCGAGTGACGTCGGGCTCCCCCCCGCCCCGCCGCCCTTCCCCGGTGCCGCCGGGTCCCAGGCCCCGGGCAGGGGGAGGCCGCCCGCGGCTCGCAGGCCCCGGCGGCCGCTCCGCGGGGGCGGGGGGGCCCGGCGGGGCGCGCAGCCCCCGGGGCGGCGGGGAGACAAGGAGGGAAGGGGGAAGCGGGCGGCCCTACCTGAATCCCGCGTGGAACATGTACATGCGCGGCCCGGCGGCGCCCGCCGCGCGCGGCGCCCCGAAGATGTTGTCCTTCTTCAGCGAGACGTAGCTGATGAGCGAGAGGATGAGCAGCGCCACGCTGAGCATGACGAGCCCCAGCACGCTGGCCACCCGCACCATCTTGCAGCTCCGCATGGCGCGCGGCGCATGTGCGCGGCCGCGCTGCGGGCCCCGGCGCGGCGCGAGGGGGGCAGGCGAGGCGGGGGGGGCGGGACGGGGCCACCCCCGCCGCGCGCAGGAAGATGGAGGGAGGGCGAGGAAATGGCAGCCGGGAGCGGCGGGCGGCGCGCCCGGGCAGCCCCGCGCCCCTCCGGCCCGACCGCCCCCCCGCAGCCCCCGCCACCCCGCGGTGCCCCCCGGGCAGCCCGGGGCATCCGGGGGTGTCTCCAGCAGCCCCGGTTCCCCCCCCCGCAATCAGCCCAGGGTATCGCGTGGTGCCCCCCAATAGCCTTGGGGCATCCCGGGATGCCCCCCGGCCCCGTCTCTCCCCCAACAGCCCTGGGAAGCCCCTGTGGATTCCATGGTGCCCCTCTGGCATGTGGGGTGCTCCCACAACTCCAGTGCACCCCTWGCTGTCCCCCGGCCAAATCTTTGGGGGTGCCCAGACTGTGCCCAACATTCCAGGGTGCCCCACGGTGGCCCCCGACAGCCCAAGATGTCCCACAATCCTGATGCATCCCATGGTGTTGCCACAACCACCCTTGGTAGCCCTCCTGGTAGCCCCTTGGTGTCCCCTGACGTTCCAGGGCGCACACAGTGAGCCCCAGCAGTGCCAGGTCACCCCATGGTGACACCCCACAGCCCGGCAAGGACCCATCCCATAGCCCCGAGGCCACTGGGACCCCAATGCCCATTGTGCCCGCAGCGAGGCCCCCCGTGAGCCTGCTGGTGGCTCGRGGCCACCGTGTTGCCTCCTGATGGCCCGAGGTGGCAATATCCATGAGAAGCACCGCTGGAGCCTCCATCACCATCTGTGTTGGGGCAATGCGAAAGCAGATGCTGGCTCCATGGGCTCCTCGTTCCTTAAAAACATGTGGGGTTTTGTTTTGTTKTGTTGTTTTTTAGGCCATGATGCTACTTAAAAGAGTCCTGGCTGTAATTAAACTGCCTCATAAATCACACAGCAAAATTCATGTGAACTCGAAGAGTGTCTGACTCCTGCCATGTGAAGAATGCCTTTTATGAACATGGCTTCTGCATTCTGCAATAGCTTTAGTGTTACTCCTGGCTACATTTTTTTTCCTTATAAAGCTTACCCCCCTAGACAACTCTGCCTCTGAGCCCTGAGTTCAGAGAAGTGTGTTATAAATAATAAATACTGTCTTTGTAGCACCAGCCTTGCTCTGGGCTATATCCTACAAGCTCTCCATGCATGAAGCTCTCTTTGAAGAGCAGGAACACGAGGAGTTCGCAGGGCTGCGCTTTACGTCACAGCGTGGCCCTTCAGCCTTCAGTGGGAGCCGGGCCTGGGTAAGGCCTCGAGGTCTATAGTCATTCCTGTGGGATATATGTGGCTTTGGTGGGGAGAGAAAAGGATGAAAACGTAGGAAATAATGCTGCTTTGATGTACAGGATAGGGTTTTTCTGCATGAACATCTGCATGGTCTCAGGGCGCTGTGTCCCCAGGTTCTGGGTGCTCTCCCACGCTGCCCAGCCCCGAGCAAACACAACGTTTCCCCTGCCGGTCCTTTGGGAATTCAGTCTGGTATATTAGGTGTTAGGTCTTACGTGGTTTCTCTACCATGGTCTACCTCACACTGTGTGCCTTCCCACGCGGCTAGCGCTGCTCGGGTGGAAGGAAAAGCACCGTCCTTGGGGTCCTGCGCARGATTCCTGGTTGCCTGAGGGGAAGTTGATGGGTGAGATGAAGGTGCTGCCGTGGGGCTGTGGGACACGTGGTGCTTGTCCTCTGCAGACACCTCCTGAAGACGCTGCCCGCTTTGCGTGGACTGGTTTTGCAGCCTGGACTTGCCCAGCCTTCCTGCGTCAGTGAGGACTGGGGGGACAGCAGAGAGGTGCTGTGGCAAGGAGGGCTGGCAGAGCCTYGGTGTGCGGCTCGCGGCTCTGCCGGGCGCCGCCGCCATCCCGGGGCGTTCGCACAAGTTGCAGCACGAAACAAAGGCAGTTCTTGCTTCAGATTCTTCAGAGATAGCAATATGTCAGGAGCCCCTAGAGAGGCTGAAAGTAAATGAATCAGTGCTAGAAAGTGAAGGATATCATCCGCACTGAATGGTGAAAAGGAGTCCTGAACAGTATCTTCATTGATTTTTCTGTAATTGACACAGAATCTCGGTTTGCCTGAGGGCCTCGGGACGGGAGGAGAGGGGAGGCCCAGGTACAGGCAGCTTCCTTCCCCAGRACCTGCAAAAATTCCTCCTCAATTAAGTGCCTGTTTTTTTATGTGAACCTTGGAAAGAAGCAGTGGGTTGGTAATGCAGTGTTTTCACTATTCACAGGGTGTTCCATAAGCTGCACTAAAGACAAGGGGCAGAGAGAGACCTGTCTYGTGCCATAATATTGCCGTCCGCTCTCCATCATCCTTGCAACAGCCAGCAAGACACCCGTGCGTGGGGCAGCTCTGAATTGTTGGTTCTTGATAAATATCTGTTCTTAAGTGAGTGTGTTTGGTAGGAAATACAGCAGCAATGCACTGCAGGAATTTTGTAGGAATTACTGCTTTGATTAGATTTGAAGCTCTCAAAGGAGGATTCTGCTTCCACACGAAACCTGCTGTGTCTGTGGCTCTAATTCCTCTGTTTTGGGGGGTGTGTGGGACACACAGTGCTTCGAGGCATCAGATCTGTTAGAACCCAAACAGTCAGAAGCCATCCTCGGGTGTATGTTTTTTAAAAATATATATATAGGAAAGGAGGACATGTCACTGCCCCTGCTCGGAGACGCTTGTCCTGAGCTCCCCACGAGGGCTGCCCAAATGCGAGTCGTGTCTAGTGAAACCCGCCTAGCCCTGGGCTCCTGGCCCTGGCTCCTGGACCTGGATTTACGGCCTCTATCACCAGGGCGGCACAGCTCCAGGATGCCTTTAGCCTTCCTACATCAACCAGTCACYGAGCATCCGCAAGAGAAATGGGAGCAGAAGTTAAGAGTATTTTTAAGTAACTGACTGCCCGTACCATTTAAAAATATATCCGTGTACTCACTGGTGAGCCTATGAAGGCGCCTGCCGCGGAGCATGTTTCTGCGTCAGGGATACAGGGGAGTTGCTAACACATCAGACAACATGTATCATCACTTAAAAAGATGCTGCCACAAATAGAGCGAAGTGCAGGTCCAGCAGGAGCTCCTATTTTCACCAGGGCGAGAAGACATGCTCCAGCTGGCTGTCAGCAACGCGTTTCGCCTGCTAATTAATAATGAGCCAAGGTCCAGTTGTGTTGTCTTACAGTTTGCATATATGTTGGCTGAGTAAGATAAATATGAACCTCCTTAACCTGAAGCTACCAAATAGCGTTAAACTTGTAACTACTTCTGCTTCAAACATGGTTTTGTAAGTATAAACACGTTCCTAAAATTGGGAACATCATATATATCAGCATCTGGCAGAAAGTTCTGACAGCTACAAGAAGGACATCCTCTTTCTTACACACTGCGATGCCAAACAGGCTTTTATTTTATTGTGTTTGCGCAGGAGAAAATGATGAACATTAACCCCATTAAAACTACAGTGACATCTAATTGCAACACTTCTCTGTGTGGGGAAGAACTCTTTTTTTATAGTATTCAGTGATAACACTCTAATCTATCACTCTTAATTCAGCAGTTAAAGCCTCCTCCAAGATCCAGAAAACATATATTGTTGTTTAGCACAAAGCTGATGTGATAGCACTTCGTAAACTTGACTTCACACGTAGAGGTGTGAGGCTCCTCCAATGCCTTCTGCTCTGCACAGCGGAGCCAGGCACGGCCCCACGGACACAGAATTTCTTCCCACACTGTTGTGGAGCTCTCCTAACCCCATGTCTCTTCCTGTCCCCTGTCCCTTCTTGCTGTAGAGCTGCTTCAAAGCTCCATGAAAAGAGCCTAGAGCTCTTCCTGGAAAATTCCCAAGAAACTCTTGCTTAGATGTTCCTCTCCTGCTGCACTGAGCAGCCGCTGGGCAGGCTGACTGCTCCCAGGAGGGTCCTTCTTGTGTGGAGCCCACCAGCCTTTTGCCTCCTTTTGCAGAAGGCAGTGCATGGAGATCATCCATGGACACACTGATGCCAAGTCCAGCAGATCTGTGGTGCATTCAGTGGTGACTCTCAGAAAAAAGGAAGCTCCCCAGCTTATCCATGGCCATGGATGAATTGTGGCCCCATGCAGAGCAAGCCCGGTTCCAAGGAGTGCATTGGTGCAGTTGTTTCTACCAGTATGAGGTCTGGCCTGTAACTGCTGTTGTAACAGCTGATGGTCTGGATGGATCTTCAGGTTCATTTACAAAGAATAGTTTGTGCTCTTTCCAGCAGGTCTGATACAGTCTTTGATCCTGATGAACAAACTCAGAATTTCATTCCATCTGATGCGTGCCTTAGAAGCACAGACTGGAATATTCCTCCAGACCAGTTTCAAGTAATGAAAAAAGAAAAATTGCTTCAGCAAAACACAATCTAGCCATGACTTAGCTCCCTGCTCGCTAATGAGGAGAGCAGCCCAAGCAGCGGCAGGCAATGCTGCGACCACCTGCGGCCTTCCGCGGTGCTCAGCTCTGACATGACCTAGATAGTCACAGAGCTGCCAGGGCTATTTATTGTAATAAAAACTGGAGTTTATGCTCACTGCTTGGCTGTGGCCTCCGCCCTGCACTGCACAGAGCAGTCGGTGTTTGGCCACTGGCCTTAGCGGGAGGGACACTGGGGCTTTCCCTAATTGCGGAGCTRCATTAGGGTCACGTCCAGGAGGAAGCAGCTGCAGGGGAAGGGAGGGGAGCAGTAACGGGCCCCGGGGGTCCTGGCTGTCACCGGCACCGGGTGGCTCGGCTCGCGAGTCAGCAAGCCAGGTAGAAAAGCAGAACAGTTTTCCTTGGGCTCTGGATGGTCCCTGAGGTGGGAGAAGACAGAAGGGGCGAGAAGAAGCTGCACAGGACAAGCGCTGTACTGGTGGCCACAGGGAGAGCACTGGGTCAGGGACCTCCTGAAAACGCTTGCTGGATC